GGTTGGCTGGTGTTCGGAGGAAGAGTCGGGATGTAGTTAGCAGTGAATTTTTTAATTACTCAATTCAACTAAAATTCAATTCGAATCGTATTGAAAGGTAGGCGTGGCCCAAATTTGGTCAGACTGATCCTGAAATTCAGCCAACCTTGGTAGGCTGGTGTTCAGGGGAAAGGCTTTTTAAAGCCTTTAAACATGTGTAACAGGGAATTTAGCCTCGTTACACAGTATGGTGGTAAATGGTTTATTGACAAAAACACGATAAAAATCGGCCTTGCAGTATACACTGAATTGCGCCGAATTTTACATTCCACATACTCAGTAAAACAAACACCGTAGGCTAATATAATACATATACAAGTAACATTCAATAATTGACGACATGATTTTCCATATTATAAATATAGCGAGGTGGTTCGACATCAAGGAAATTAAAAACAGCATTGTGCGGAATCGTTAAAGGTGAGACTGCTCTCGAATCAAAACAGTTCTAACAGTTCAGTTTACAGTCCATTGAGGAGTTAAGCCAACATCGGCTTCGCACTCGTGGTGTATATTTTGGTCCCTCTGGCCTGGGAGTACTGGAGCGAGTTCCTCAGCTGCCGACCGTGCAGATCTCCCCGCGTAGGAGGAAGCCAGCCACAGAAGCGGGGCGACTGTCTAACCTTTTTTGCAAAGTTCAGGCAAAGATTGTGTCAGAAAGAGATTCAAGTTCCAAAGTTCTCAAGGCTTCCGGGTATGAAGTGTACTGCCGGCCCAACACAATCCTACAAGCACGTTTCTGGACTCGTTCTAGTCTGGCTGTTTATAATTTGTCTGTTGGTGAGTGCGGCGTTCCAAACCGCAGCTGGGGCTGCATATTCAAGCAGCGGTCTGACATAGCCGCAGTACTACAGTGACGTCAAGCAGGTTCCAAATGTGCGGCTAGACCTCTCCCAAACAACCAACTCAGTTTCCTGTCGCGTTTTGGCGTTTTGCCAACACCACAAATTCCAAATGAATTCGTGACTGCATAGAGGTTCCTCGTCATTTCTATCGGGTGAAACAACACCAAACGTGTACACCATGCTCAAGGATGAAAAGAAACCAATCTTTTATCCTACCAATCTGACTTAATTACCTGACAG